GCAACCACGACTTGGCTGCTGCTGCCTGCTCTGCCACTACTACCTTGCCCCTCATCCTCGGCAGCTTCATCCACAACCCTCCTTCCCTTCTCCCTCTCCTCACCATCCTCCTCCACCCCTCCCCTCCTCCTCGCCTCCCCAGCCATCGCCAAATCCGAAAAGCTCACCCATTTCCTCATCCCCATCCCGCCCCCCTTCTTCAACCCTCCCTTCCTCCCCACCCCACCACTCCCCTCCCCAACACCTCCCGCTCCCTCCTCCCCATCCTCCTCCCCATCCCGGCTACTCCCAGGCGACGGCACAATCGGCGTGTGCAGATTCGCCAGCGAGACACACCGGCTCAACGGCCGCGAAGCTTCCGCGCGCTGCTTCTCATACTTCCTGATCGCCGGCTCCATTTTCCGCACAGCGCTCCACATGCCCTGCCGCACGCCCAGCTTCGCGATATCCCTCTGCAACCCCATCTCCTCGTGGTGAAACAGCATGACTTCAGCTGCGTTGCTTCCCTCGGCGCCGATCACGGGGCGGATGCGCCAGCTGGAGTAGAAGACTTCGACGCGCCGCGGCTTGTCGCGCTTGGGGACCTCGGGGTGGTGCACGCCCTTGGTGATGCAGTAGAAGGTGTCGTCGTGCGACCAGATGCGCCGCGCTATCACGTACTCGCGGTCCTTGCAGAAAAACGGAAACTGCAATACGGGGGACAGGTATGTGACAGAAGTGTGACAGGAACGAGACACAAGTGGGACATGAACGGGATGGGAGGAATGGAATAGGAATTGGACAGGACCGGAACAGGAGCTCGAGAGGAGTGGCGCACGAGTGAGAGGAGCCGAAAAAGATTGGGACGAGAGAGGAGCGAGTGAAAGAAAAGGCCGCGACTGCAGGGTGCCAAGGAGGAGGGTCAATAGGAAAAAAACAATCAACTTTCCTCACCCTTTCCCCGCACTCCAGGCCTTTTGCCCACAGATAAAATGACAACACAGCCACTGACCTTGCGGACCCAGTGCACGATCTGGAAGCCGGTGCGCTCGCAGGCGGTGATGGTGCGCGCCTGCACGAGTGAGGTGCAGCAAAGAGCACATAACAGCTCACCTTGCGGACCCAGTGGACGATCTGGAAGCCGGTGCGCTCGCAGGCGGTGATGGTGCGCGCCTGCACGAGTGAGGTGCAGCAAAGAGCACATAACAGCTCACCTTGCGGACCCAGTGGACGATCTGGAAGCCGGTGCGCTCGCAGGCGGTGATGGTGCGCGCCTGCACGAGCATGTCGTCCCACGCTGCACGGAACTCGTCGTCCCAAAAGAAGTCGCGCATGAGCGCCGACGAGCACCGCTCCATCACCGTGCGACTGCGGTACTCCGTGGGGCCTTGCTGTATGGGGGGACGGACGGGGGACGAACGTGGAAATAATGACGGACGATGAAGAACCGGGGCATACCAGCGGGAAAAGGAAGTGGTGGAGAGGAGTTAGAAAACCGGGCATGAGAGCAGACGAGCACAAGACTGCATGTTCGGTGAAACGGAAGGGGCAGACAGGCACAAAGGGCGGACGGTCTCCTTGCCAGTCCGTGTTCTGCAACCTCTAAGCAGACTTTTCCATCATCGCCCATCCCCGTCATAGCGCCAACTCGTTACAGCCACAAAGACGTATTTCATTTATAAGTGAAACAATAAAACTCACTTCAGGGTCTCGTCGCCAGCCCGTGTATTGCATCCCCGGAGCAGTCTTCTCCATGAGCAGCTGCCACTCCGGCCCGCCGTCCTTCCCCTCCACCTTGGCGCAAAACTCCTCCAGGTCATCCTCGGTAAGAACTAACTCCATATCCTCTTCCGAAACGCTGTGCTCCGCGCCGTGCCCGTGCTTATGTCCGTTGGCGTGCCCGTGCACGTTACGGCCGACCTCCAGCAGTTGCAGGTTTCCTGTTTGCAACGATGGCGGGCGCGAGACCTTGCTCCGCGACTCCACAGACGGCCTGGGGACGTCAGGGGTAAACCAGGGGGAAGGGATTAGAATACGTCAGTGGACGGTCTTGTCGAGGAAAAGTAAGACAAATTGCGAGACGAGGGGATTGTGAACCCGACGGAATTGTAGTGAAACGGAAGAGAGCGAGAAGGAATGAAACGGTGAACGAGTTGAGCGGGAACCAGACGTACTCGTCAGTCACAGCTTCCTTGCTGACTACCTCGCCGTTCAATTGACGCTCCCGTCTGCCATCCGCAGCGCTGGTCGCGGAATCAATTACACGGTTACCGTTACGACGTTCGCCAACCTCCTCCGCACCTTCCGTCCTCCTAGCTTCAACACTATCGTTCCCCAAAGCAGCTGACTTCCCAATCCCACCCACCCTCTCAGCCGCTCGCCAAGGCAGCACCTTCTCGCCTAGGGAACTCCAATCTCTCCCAAAAAGCACCCCTACCGCCTGAAACCCGGGCTCTCTAGCTCCCTTAACTCCCTCCTTAACTCCCGCTGCTGAGAATCCCGAAACCTGCGCTTGACCGCACGAGTCCAGCACAGCCTGGCCCCAGGACCACCCCGCAGACCACGCCTCCTTGAACGGCCCGCCGGTGAGAAGCGACCAGAAGGCGGAGGAACGCGGGTCCGACGCGAGAGAGTTGACCCACTGCGGCCGCCATGACCACCCGAGGATGAGGCCGACGACGACGGCGAGCCAGAGCGGCGCGACGACGGAGAGCAGCTCGAGCATGAAATCGTAGAAGCTAGTGTGGCTCGCGCCGCTTGTGAGCATGTGGACGAGCCGACTGCTGCTGCCGCTGCTGCTGCTGCCAATCCCCGGAGTAGCCATGCACGACGAGGAGGAGAACGAGTGGAATTAAGGCCTAATTCAAGTTCCCTGTGACGTCGTTGGCTGGACAGACGATGCCCTGCTTGTAATCGATTAGGCAAAGAAGTTAGTTTGGCGAGCTAGCAGCGACGCAGTTGTCAGCGAACGAGAGAAAAGGACGGCTATGGTATTCCGTGGTCGAAGATATACATGCATCAAGACAATTCTTCTGCGAACCCTAGTGTCAACCCAGAAGCACGTGGTCCGGTCAGAGCAAGACACGCAGAGAAGTTCCTTCTCCTTGCGTGGTGTCGTGTGCTGCCAATTCCTGTTGTTTGTCGTGTCACGCTGGCTGAGCTAATGGTGGAAATGAAAAGAAGTGGACTTCCTTGCAGTGCACACGAATAACCTCGTCAGCTGATTAACAGACAGCCATGGAAAACGTTCACTCGGAGTCAGCACCCACCAGAAACTGTCATCACACGCGGAAAGAAGCAAGGAAATAATCACCTGTGTGTCTCTAGGTGGACTCCTCTGCAAACTTGGTGAGGAGGAAGAACTGGTGCAAGTGTGATGGGGATTCACGGGGGCAGCTAAAACAAAATGATGAGAGTGTAGGTCTGAAGATGAAGTAAAGATGTGTTGGCTGGATGAGATTATGCGGTAAGGTGTAGAATACGCAATTCATGCTTCGACTTTACCAAGGTTGGATGATCAAGGGCAGCAAGGCAAATTGAGTAATCCCCCACAACTTCGGGCAGCTTGCAAGGAAAGGATTTTCGTGTCGCGTGCTTGAAATTCCCAATCTCAAGGGCAGACCGCTTCCGACGGGAGCGATGGAGGCTTCTTGATATGGATACTGAATGAACTCACAGCCTTCGATGTTTATACGTGGCATTTTGGACGTTCGAGATAACTTGATAGGATTTGGGAGGACATGCTTTTGGAACCTCGAAAATGCCAGCCACTTAGACCTTGCTGCTGATATCATCCCACCGTCAGCAGCATTCAACGGTGCTGAACGTGGACGGGCGGCTCGTATTGCGTGTGCCCCAGCTCGTCGAAAGGCGAATCAGCATCAAGAACTGTGGATAACAAACCAATCCAGTAGAACCCGTCGAACTCGCCAAGAGCGGCACCAAAGGCGAGATGGCTGTATTATGCACGTTTTCTTGACAAGCAAATTATGGAGTGATAGAGTAAACCATATTTCTCCAATTTACTACTACTCCATCCATATTAGTTTCAGCGCCGTATCACGTGGACACTTTATGCAGACTGGACATTAGCCGTCATTAGATGGCCTAAACGTGTATGGGCTGACCTTGCGCATGTACTGGAGTTCACCACAAGTATGCTAGACATATTTGTAAATCGATATGTGTAAGTTATTTCAAACTAGTCAAATCAGCAATATTCCCAATTCTCCATATTACATTTATATGATTTTCATTACCATTGCATACGAGCTAATTGTTGCTGCATGTTGCAAAGCTAGGTTCATTATGTGTCCATCTAGATACGTGGGCCTGATTTTGTTATAGCTAACTCCCAATATGGAATCACAAACGATTCCATGTTTTCCGTGCACTTTGCCTGGACCTATTAACGGGTACATTAAGTTGGTGGACCGTGTTGCTCCATGTTGGCAGACATGCTGGGCCTCAGCGATTTGTAAGTCGCGAAAACGTTGGGAAACCGTGGTAGGCATGTGTCAGAACTCCTCGTCAAAACGGCACGTGTCAATCTCGAGGTGCGAACATTGCTTTCATCAACACTTTTTGCCACATGTTTACTTCTGAGTGGGCAAGTTTTGATGATTTTAAACCGTTCCTTGCTGATAGTGCAAGCTGGGGACTCAGAGATCCACCCTGGGGGCCAACTGGAAGCCCGTAACTGGAAGGACGACGATTCGGTAAACAGAATAAAAAGTCTGACTTTCCCAACCAATCCCGCAGCAGCGCGTAACCGCTCCACACGACGTGTAGAATTTTTTTGCTCATCCGATTCTGCATCCTTGCATCCCACCCCCACATCGCGTCCCACGCTGATTCCAGCAAGAAGAGTTTTGATGCAGATTCACCGCGTGGTAGGGTGGGAGGGGGCCGCAAGTTGTTTGGGTAGGCCACCATATTCTCGAAGCTTTTTCCAACAGCCCGTGATCCAAAAGCGGATCGTACCACTGCACTTTCCAAACTGTTTCGCAGCACTAGCCTCAATGGTCCTACTTTTTAGGGTTGTGACACCCAAGCGTGTCAACTGTCATGCCGCTGTACGATCTACCTTCCAGCTCATCGTATCATCTCAGACTGGGTACAGCACTGTAGTTGCGTTCTGGGTCCTTCGTTCTGCGGTGCCCCAGTTTTTCTCCCACAAGCCGCTCCGGTTCTGCGAGTCAGGTTCCCTCGGTGTATCCCCGAGTCGGTGAGCGGTGGAACTCGGCGCAGTATAAAAAGAGGATGCTGCGGCTGAACATTCCAAATCGATATTGACGTTCTAGCATTCGTCACCGTTGCCTACATTTTACCTCAGCGTCTCCTATTCTTCGAGCACGTAGCCTAGCAGAGCCACAGTTGCGACCTGGATAGCTTCAGCGATGTCGACTACCATTTCTTCGAGTATGGGTGTTCCCAAGCGCGACGTTGAGCCATGGAGCACAAATTTTAACCTCGATTTTCACTCGCCGAAAGCTGCAAAGAGGTTGCGCCTCTCTGACGCCTTGAACGACAAGTTCTTCAACGACAACGAGGGTGTATCGGACTGTCTGACCGAGTTGACCCTAGGTCTTCCGAAACCTCCCGTTGTAGCTGCAGAAAAGCCGTCGCTTTCCGACTTAGGCGACGATTTGCTCCTTCACATTTTCCAGCTCGCGCAGCCCACCGCCTGGGACCTCTGCCGCATGGCGTGCGTGAATAAGACTTGGCGCGAGCTCTCTTACAACCAGATTTTCTGGACGAAGCTACGGATTGGCCCTGGGAGCATGCGTCCGGGAGTGGAGCAGCTCGCAGCACGGTGCACGAACCTGGTGGAGCTGCATATTGACGATCCTCGCTGCGAGCTGCACGTGCTCCATCCGATCATTATGGCTTGCGGTAGCTCTCTTCGTCGAATCGTTATCGACTGCGACCGGGATAACACGAGCCGCAACGAGGCATCAATATGCAGCGTTCTTTGGATCGTAAGGTGCGTTGAGTTTACCCGTCAAGCCAATATTTTACTGTCATGCGCGCCGTTATTTCCCTTGGTTACGACTTATGGGTTATTCAGTCCAAAAGCTCACACTTTCTTCGCTTGTTTTGGTTTGCAGCCTCTACTGCAGCAATGTTGAAAGCGTGGAGCTCATTTCAGACGGAAAGCAAGGCAACTTCACGTACTTGGAGAACAAGGCGATGTGGTACCTCACTTCGGGCTTCCGCCACATCCGCAGCTTTGCCTGCTTGTGCCAGAACAGCCTGTCGAAGCAAGCCATTTACCTCATGGTCATTGCATGGCGGGAATTGACGTGCCTTCGCATCCACTGCGGAGCCCTTGGAACAGACGATCTCATGGCTTTGCGTAAATGCTACTCCCTGCGGGTTCTGGAGCTGGTTGGTGGTAACCTTGGAAATCTCCTCAGCAGCACCAGCGAAGCTGTCATGCATCGGGACCTTGAGATCCTGGTGTTGACGAAGATGGTATGTGGACTGGAGGACATCGCTAAGGCTTCGTTGCTGTGCCCCAATTTGGCGAAGATTGTTGTGCGAAATTCTTCGCTACTTGCTGGTGGCTCAGTCGACAATCCCGCGGCCCAGGCGAAAGCCGTTGAGGAGTTGCGAAAGTGGCTGCTTGTGCAGCGAAATGTCGAGCTTGTAGTCGACGAGGCTTGATCTGTCGCTGACGCAACACGGCAGTAGGTAGGTCTGGGTCTGGGAATGGCAGCAGACACTGAGGCGAACAGTTCGCGAATCGCGGAACTTGCGGCTTGCCTTGGCCCAAGTTACCCAACATTCGTTTCCAGCCCGGCTCGGATTCACCATATCCCGTTGCGTCAAGCCGAAACGTGAAGCCGCGTTTCCCGTTCCGTCGCACATCCCTGACCTTGTCGCATTCATGCATGGCGGAGTTCCTCCCCTGGACTGGCAACTGGCTGCTGGTTGGGATTGAACGCAAATCTGTTGATTGCGCGTTGTTGCGAAACTCGAGATGTCAATCTGGCAGCTCGCCAACAGAAATTCATCTTGGCGCTGGACGAAGTCCTTCGTGCACGCGGAAGTTTCTATCCTGGGCTGGTTGCTGGTAACAGGCAGTGCTGCGACACCGAATCTTTTCGTTTCCGCGTTGTTACGAAACCTCAGTTGAGAAACCAGATTAGTGGCAAGCAGCCAATCAGCGGAGCACGAAAAACACGTTCCCAAGGAAACCGCGTTCAACAGCGACGCCAGGTTCTGGAAGCTTTCAAGTCGTCTTGTCTGGAGAAGATTGAGAAGATTGCTGCTTGTCAAGTAAATTTGAAACGAGTAGCTCTGTTGCAAGAATCATGTTGTGACACGCTAGTCAATCAGAGCTATTACTTGGACTTCTTAGTCCTCTTGATGCTTCATGAAATTCAACAATACTACGCGAAGCTTATCGCTTACACCAGACCAAACTCAGATTGGATTTATCTGCCTTTAGTCCTGTCAGTAAGTGAAGACAACGCCTTTCCAGAGCGGTTTAATGCGAAGTAATCCTGTCTTCGTTAGTCATGACAACTCCAGTACCCGTCGACCTGTTCGCGCGGTCATTTCGTGTTCACCATGTCATGTACCACGTCGCACCTGTATAACCGATTTCGAAGGGACATCATTTTGAAGCAATGACACTTCCGGTAATTGAAAGGGATTGCTGGAAGCACGAACTGGTACCTGCATGAGGGGACGTTTTTGAGAGCCTGAGACAATCTCCGCCTGGCTGCAATCGAGAGCATGTCAAAGAGAATCTCCGCCTTGGACGACGCTCGCATCCCCAGGATCAGAGGGCCAGCTGCATGTTGAAAGTGTCAGTCCGATGGGCAGCTTAGCTTTGTTGTCATAACATACAACATCGATGGCTATAAACGGAGAAGAAACATCAAGAAGGATGTGGTAAGTATGATGTACTCACCGTTGAGGGTTGGAAGAGTCGAGCAAACGAACACGGGTTGTGTAGCTTGATTGTTCATGTACGCCAGCAATGATGCATTCAGCGCGTTCTGTTATGCAGGCAACGAAGAGGATGCAAGATAGGGTTCTGCATCACCAGCTTTGTGGACTCACAAGTACTATGCGTGATTTGTAATGATACGGTACTTAGGCTAGGCTACGAATCCATCATTCCATATATGTTTCCAGGAAATGACAAAGATCCATCTGTGGATGTGCAGGTACAGCTCACGCTGGAGCGTCATTCTTTCAGAAAAATAACATACCTGATGGATGCTCATTGCACCACAGTTAATGGAAGCTCATCATACCCGATGGATGCTTACATGCACCACATTAATGGAATCTCATCTTCAAGATATATTACGGATGCTTACATGCACTATTACCGTATTCATTGAAGGCCATCTTCCGAAACCTAATGGATGCTTACGTGCACCATAACAAGTGGAAGCTCGTTTTTAAAACAAACCTGATGGATGCTTACATGCACCATAACTAATGGAAGCTCATATTCAACCTACCTGGTGGATGCTGACGTGCACCATAACAAATGGAAGCTCATCTTCAACATACCTGATGGATGCTTACATGCACCATACTATTGGAAGCACATCTTCAACATACCTGATGGATTCTTACATGCACCATACTATTGGAAGCTTATGGGTGTATACATGCACCCTAAGTAATGGAAGCTCGTATTCAACCTACCTGATGGATGCTTACGTGCACCGTAATTGATGGAAGCTCATCTCCAACATACCTAATGGATAACTAATGGAAGCTCATCCTCAACATACCTAATGGATGCTTACATGCACCATAACCAAGGGAAGCTCATCTTCAAAAACCCGATGGAAGCTTTCATGCACAACAATCAATGGAAGCTCATCTTCAACATACCTGATGGCTATTTAATGCCCCCCAATTAATGGAAGCTCGTCTACATTCCTGATGGATGCTTACACGCACAAACCTGTTGGGTGGTTATCATCACCCCATCTGATAAAATAAGTAATCTATGCAATCACGCAAATGGTGAATTTCCATGGATAATATTCCTGCAAGAGTTTGATGCTTGCAAGAGCTTACAAAACCTTTCCATGGATTTGCAGGTGCACTTCGACATGGCTGACGATCTCAGCCTTCACCATATTGAATATCAACGTACCTTAACTGTACCTGTCTACATTAACGGTTCGTGAAGGTGAGTAGTATTCTGGCTAGGTGGACAATATGCTTGGAAAAAAAACCCTCAAATGGATTTGCAGGTACATCTCTTTCTGCAGCAAGCTCCACCCAAGAAACCCCCCACCGCACCTGACAACTGGGTACCTTCACTGCACCTGAATCCTGATGAATACTTGCCTTCAACATACCTGACAAATTGCTACCTTTACCATACAACAAATGGTGTGTGCTGCAAAAGCCACTCTGGTCAGGCAATCGAAATGGCTAATTAATGCTCGCAGGAGATGACAAAAGAGCTCAAATTGTTTTGCAGATGCCGCTCTTCATGCAGCACAATCCAATCAATGGAAAGAAAAAAAGGCTCTGCTTCATGATGCATTCGTTCGCCATACCTGATGGATGCCCTTGAGTGGAATGCCCTTCATTCCGAACTGCACAAGTGAAGTATTGCACATTCTTCCCCGTCTCTCAGCTGTTAACTCTCCCCCTCTGTTGTCAGGTGTTGCCTTTGACGTGCGGAGCTGCGTTCATCACAATGAACAGATTCGATAGCAACTTGAAGTTTTCCAAATCAATGCCACACCAGCGACCAACTTCAAGATTGAGCACTGGAACATGAAGACATGCAAGGACCCGCTTGGAGCTCACTTAGATCAGCCACGCCAATCATCCCCTCCCAAGCGAAGTTCTGTTTTCCATGACAGTCCCACTACCCCACTAACCAGTCGTGCCTTTTCACCATCAAACAACACCCATCCTTCATCAGCCACCATTCACCACCACCCATCATTCACCAACCACCATTCACCACCCATCATGCACCAACCGTCACTCACCACTCATCAGTCTCCACCCATCTCACCTCGAATCTCTCATCTGCTGTCAGCATTTCCACAAGCCTTGCTGCCTCAGAAGCAGCCGAGGCTTCCCCCAATACCGCCTCTCCTGCCACGTTCCTCGACCCTGTTTCACAAGCCAGCTCTGAAACGCCATCCCCTGAACCCTCCCTTTCATCGTCCATCTTGTGATCCTCTGCGAGTGATTCCAGCTCAGCCACCACGCCTGCCAGCTCAGCAGCGTCCTGGCCAATGAGCACGAGGCAGCAGGAGGGTGGGCAGTCCCAGGTGTCGGTAGCAGTGCAGGAGCAGCGGCTGCTGCCACTCAGCTGAAACACAAACCGCAGATGGCTTGGGGGTGGAAAGAGAGAAAGAAAGGTGATCGGAGGGAAGAGGGAGGCACGGGGAGAGGAAGGATGGGTTGGCAGGGAGGGAGGACAAAACATGCGAGACAAAGAGGGGCAAGAAGCTAAAGAAGGCATGAAGATATTGTGAACAAGGCTACCAAAAGCCCAATGCTGGAAATCCTCATCCTGGACTCCTAGGACCACACGCCCAGAAAACGTACCCAACACCTGCTGTGACTCCTTACCGTAGTTCTTTGAAATAGAGGAAGCCCTTGGCTCGAAGCAAACCCTTCACTGGAGCACTTCTGCCTCGCAGTCTGGTGGCCACGATGTGCTGAAATGCAGCAAGCGGAAGGGGGTGCTGTGACTCAAAGAGAAGTGACGTAAACGGGGTGGAGGCATGACCTGGTGGAGGTGCACCCAGTTGACACCTCCTCGCTCCATGCCTTGCAGTCGGCTCTTTCCTTTCCTCGTGCAAGGAGGAGGGAGTGAGGGGGGAGGGAGTTGGAGCGGAGGGAGTGCGAAAGGAGGGGGCAGCAGTGGCTTCATGGGAGAGGAAGCCAGAGGAGAGGTGAGCGGATGCTGAGGTGAGAGGAGGGGCAGGCTGCGATACAGGAACGGTATCCAGGATCAGATCCAAGGGGACGTGACAGTAACGGGTGCGGACTACAGGGGGAGGAGGCAAGCTGGCTGGTTGTCCGGATGAGGAGGTTGGAGGATGGTAGTGTGAGTGAGAGGAGGTGCAAGAGTGAGTGCTGCTGCCATGTGCGTCGTTGGTATGTGGGTGGCCATGCGGGTGGGCCGAAGCGCCTTCAGTAGTGAGGAATCTGAGGAGCATGTCCTCTGCATCTGAGAGCGCACCCAGGGACACTAGGTCACACCTGCGCATGGCATTAAGCGGAGGGGCATGGCATGGGAAAGAGGGGCATGGGGCAGAGGGGCATGGGACGGAAAGGCATGGCACAGAGGGGCACGGTCGCAGAGGTTCATGCATCAAGAGCGGCATGGAATGAGGGGCATGGCGCAGAGTGGCATGCGAAGTAAGCTCATCTCAGAGCACAGCGCAGCCTTTAAGCCATCCTCCCATTCTAATCGTCTCGCCATCATCGTCTCCGTCTCACATCCTGAGCCACCAAGATCGCTTCAACCCCGAGCACCCTCCCCCCCTCCCTCCACCACTCTTCTCCCCCCTCTCTCTCTTCGCGCCTTCCTCAAAGCAACATCAGCTCACTTATTCAGCAACACCAGGTCGGCTGCTGCCAGCTGTCGCCGCACTATTGGCTGCTGTTCGAGGAGGGTCGGCAGCGTCTCAGCCTCAACCACTGCCACCACTCTATCGAGCCTCACTCCAGCTTCCATCAGCTGGGCGGCTATCGGTTGAGGGTCTGCTAGGCCTGACGTCTGGAGGAACAGAAGGGCGGAATTGGGCATCAATGAGGAGGACAGAACACGTTTCAGATAATGACACAATCACCACCATGGCCACCATCACCGCCACTAACACCACTGCCTTCCCTGCCTCCCCTGCCACCACTGCCATAAATCAGGTCAGTTTCATGCCTGAGGGAGGCTGCTCACCTCCAGAATGAGGTAGTCACATGCTGACATGGCGCCACCAACCGCTGCTCGCACGGCCTTTTTGAGCCCATCGCTGACGTGGCAACACGCGCAGCCTGCAGAGTGTGATACGCATGTGGGTGCATGGGCATGTGTGGGTGCATGGGCATGTTTGGGTGGGTGCATGGGTATGGGGGTGCATGGGGATGGGAGTGCATGGGGATGGGAGTGCATGGGGATGGGAGTGCATGGGGATGGGAGTGTATGGGGATGTGAGTGCATGGGGATGTGAGTGCATACGGGGCATACGGTACTAGTTTTGAAAACATGAGAAGGAGCATGTGTGGAAACGGCGAGTCAGCTCCTACTTACTCTCACTGACTTGCTATCTCCAATCCCCACCCCCCTCCCCTCACCCACTCTCAAATCCAGGCAACAGTCCCTCCCCCACTCCCTCCCCTCAACCACCCTAACTTCCAGCCACCCTCCCTTACTCACTCCCCCATGTATTCCTTTCTTTCTCCCCTTACCCACACTGTCCCTTTCAACCACTCACCCCCTGCCAAGTCCCCATGACCAGGGGGCGCCCCGACTGCCACGTTGGCGCGCTGTGATTGGAGCAGCAGCGAGTCCACGTCAACAGGGCTGAATTCGTTCACCAGCACTGCCACTCGTAGGTCGCCCTTCTCCTTCAGCACGTGCTGGAAGGGGGGCAGTGGGAGGCGGGAAGGTGGGGAGGAGAGAGAGAGGAGTGAGGATGAGGGAACAGGGGAGGCGGAAGCGAAGGGAAGCTGAGTGCGATAAGAATGGTTATGCGGGAGGTTGGGGTAAGGGGGCGGGAGGGAGGGGAGTGTAGTTGGTTAGGCGGATAACATCGTTCCCCACCACGCGCAGATTTTCCAGCTTTTGCACGGTTGGAGAGAGGTCGAAGTTCCCGAATTAACTATACGCTCACACACCTGCAGCAGAGTGGTCTTGCCGCATCCCAGGAAGCCAGTCACGAGGGTACACGACAACTGCTGCCGCCCAGACACCCCGCTGGCGTCCAACACGCGTGATTCAAACGAGAGGCTCATCTCGTTACCCTCTAGTGCTAGCGAAGGCGACGAACGCGGCTCTAACGCTCCTCCTGCCGCCGATGCCACTGCCGGCGCCGCCGCTGTTACTGCTACTGACGTGGCCGTCGGAGCTGCTGTCGTGGCTAGCGCCAAATCTGCCGCATGGGGAGCGAGAGGTGGCGGAACGCCTTCCGCCTGTCTGCCTGCGCCGTCGCCAGCCTCCGCGAGAGAGCAGTTTGGTTCCCTGCCATAACAGCAGTCGTTCTGCCCTGCTGCCATAATTCTCAAGACTATACACACGAATCTTAAATTCGACCTTGCGTTTCTGTAGCAATCCCCTCCCGCCAGTTCATGTCTCGTGCTGTTCTGCTGACAAACATGGCTCCCTGATTTGCAGTAACGGATTTCACAAGACAGGTGCGAGATTCTCCCCTGAGCTGTTGGTTTTGTACGCGACATACGATAACTCAGTTTGACCCTTTATTCCAGCTTTTATGAATCAGAGGATATTGTGAGGACATCGGAGCATTCTTCAACGGAGCGGGGCGGACTGGATGACATGGCAGCAACATGTGCCGACTTCGACGTGGCGAATTGTGGGAAAGGGTGAGCGACGTGGATTATGTGGGTCAGATTCAGCTCCTCCCGCACTGTGGATGAATCATTGAACCGGATCACAGTGATTTCACTTGCCCGTCTTTGCGGGCAGCTGGGCTGCTTGCCTTTTCGCCCACTCAGGTTTTTCCGGATTGGTCGGTTGTGGGCCTTGGTCCGCACCGCACCACGCACGCTTCAAATTCCGACGAGGCGCAGAACTTGCTTGCTGGTGGTGAGGAATCGCGTTTGCACTCGCAAACGTCGCTAACAAAGCGTCGCCGACCGTCATGAGCCAACCCTTGCCGATCGCCTGGGAATCTCCCACGCATCTGTGGAATTCCTTGCGTCGCGTGCTCGCAGCCCCTCGCCTGCCTCAATTTCTCCCCTCGTTTGAACGCGCGACAGCTGGTTCCCCATCGCCGCCAGCGCATTGCAATTTGCCCCCCATCCCCATTTCGTTTCAGGTGCAAATTCTATGGTTCTTCCATCCCTCCCCCATGACTCGTTCCGCAACATCTCGTCCACATGCACTCATCCACCCGATCCACATTTTCCTCCCTCCCCCTCGCCACTCCCCAGCCGCCACAGAACTCCTCAGAACTCACACTTGTCATTTGCACTCCTGTGATTAGGGATAAAAGCCTGATCAGTCTACTCTTGGTCTAAGGCTTATTCCCGTCGTTGTGTTAGGACGAGAGGGCCTTGGGGTAAGCTCTGCTATACTCCCAAGCCTTCACATTGTTCCTACTTGGCTCCGTCACACGCTACCTCTCTCCATTTCGCGCGATCTGGAGCAGAGAAGCGGGAATTTTGAGACACGGAGGATCAGGAGCCTGTCGGAACGTTCGTCCCTTGCACAAGGACGAACCTGCTCGTTGATTTGAGACTTCTCTCGAATCAGCACCTGCCTCGCTGCGATCTTCGCAGATCCGCTGCGGGCGAAACCTCTGTGCTGTCGTGTGCGACAGTCCTTCAAAAGTCGTCGCGATGGCGACTCAGCCTGGACCGCTATACGAGTTCCCGTGGCACTCACTCGGCGGATACAAGGTGCGCCCCCAACTCTACCCTGCTCTTCAACTAAATTGCGGTTGGATGCCGGCAACTATAACTTAACCGCATGCATTCGCGATCAATGTTCCTTTGTTCACGCATTGCCCACAAATGCGCACATTGGCATCCGCGTGCCGCCAATCACATGAGTGCAACGAGGTGTTGACGCTCGCTGCTAATCTCGCTTAGGGTAACAGATCCTGTGAAATGCTCATTCCCCTATTTCCTCTCCCCACTCCCTGTTTAACCACCCACCATATCATCACTTTTCCTCTCCGCAGTATCTGGTACTCGCGCCGCTGGTAGCTCGAGCCATCGACGCCAATTTCCACGGCGGGAAGGATCCAGACAACTTCAGCCTGCACCTGCTGATCGCGTCGGCGCTGCGGCTGCTCGTGGGCATGGCGTGGATGACTATATCGCGCTGGCCGCACCTCGTTCCCCGATATAAGATCCAGCGGAAGGGAGTTAATTACAAGCAGATGGACCGGGAAGAAAACTGGTAAGATTTGTTCCCCCCTCCTCCCCCCCCACATTCTTTTTCGTTCGCAATAGTCCCGCTATGAAATGCAGAGGGCGGACGTTACTTCTGGATTGGGGAGAGAGAAAAGCCGATTTTACATATCATCGTTGTGTCCTGTCGCTTGTTTTCACCTAGCGGGAACACATCACTGGTGCAAGTAAGAGATGGGTCTTAGAGAACGGCATTCGTTTCAGGCGCCAACCGTACATTAAGCCCGTCGCTTTGCGCACCAGTACGAAAGGACACTTCAGCGCCGCAGCAGGTAGCATCGGTTGGGTGCCTAGTTGTTTAGCGTTAGGTCGCGCCTCATGAAATAGCTTTTTAGCCGCCTAGTGATATGGCCTTCGTTCGCCTTATCAGGGCGTTAAGGAAAAGGAAAAGGAACCCGAACCAAGGCGATCGGTCGCCCTCTTGGTGGTGGTCAAAGAGGGTATTGATGTAGCGACGACAATCCAACCAGCCCCCATGCCCATCGCGCTAAAGTAGAACGAAAGAGAAAAGTCTTACGGAGGACATGAAGGAGGACAGACTCGCTCGGTCATTCTTCACTCCCACTCCCCACGGGTCATCCCTCATTGCCCATCCGGGCCTTAGAGAGGGACGACTACAAGCATCCTCAACGCCTTCCTCGTGTGTGTATGCCTCACGCATACCCTCCGCCCCTCATGCCTCCCACTTACCTCCTGCCCCACCACCTCCCCTCCGCTCCTCTCCCATTTCCCCACCCTCCACTCTCCCCTTTCCCCAAACAACCACAGGGACGACTACATTATCCTCAACGCGCTTCTCGGTTTTATCTTCCACGAGTGGGTGCCGCTCTTCCAGAACTTCAAACCCTGCACGGCGTCGGGGCTGCTCATCACGCTGCTCATGCACGTGGGGCCCGCCGAGTTCCTCTACTACTGGCTGCACCGCGCGCTGCACCACCACTCGCTCTACAGCAAATACCACAGCCACCACCACGCGTCCTTCCTCACCGAACCCGTTACAGGTACGAGATTCGTTACAAGTGTGACTCGTTATGAGTATAAGGCACGTTGTAGGTACCATGAGTTCCTCTACTACTGGCTGCACCGCGCGCTGCACCACCACACGCTCTACTCCAAGTACCACAGCCACCACCACGCGTCGTTTCTCACGGAGCCCGTCACAGGTGCGTGACTCGTTATAGTGAGAGATAGAGAAGGTGAATGATTGCGAAAGGCTTGCCTTTACTAAGAAGACTCAAACGTTTCGAACAGAGTGATAATTACAACAAACCTCCTTCCTTGCCTCCCATTCCCCCCCACCCTCCCCTCCCTTGACCCACCCCTGCATGCGCCCCTCTTCCCCTGCAGCGACGGTGCATCCGTTCATGGAGCATCTCATGTACGCGGCGGTCTTCGTGGTGCCCTTCTACGCCACGTGTCTGCTGGGCTGCGCGTCCGTGGGCGGAGTGTACGCCTACATGCTCGCTTTCGACGTCCTCAACTTCATGGGCCACTGCAACTTTGAATTCTTCCCCGTCTCGCTCTTCCGGGCCTTGCCCTTTTTGAAATACCTCATCTACACGCCCTCGTAAGTGCCCACCCTGCACACACACCCAGGCCCCCTTCTTCACCCCACCGACACACATACCCACTTGCCCTTCTACGCCACGTGCGTGCTGGGCTGCGCGTCCGTGGGCGGCGTGTACGCCTACATGCTCGCCTTCGACGTGCTCAACTTCATGGGCCACTGCAACTTCGAGTTCTTCCCGATTTCTCTCTTCCGCGCGCTGCCCTTCCTCAAATACCTCATTTACACGCCGTCGTAAGCCTCACAAACCCCCCACCTCCCCGCTGCCCTCATACACCCATCGCCCCACCCCCTCCCTCACACACCCACCGCCCTTTCTCAAATGCCTCACCTACACGCCCTCGTACGCCTTGCACACGCCCAGTTTCACACACATACTCTTCCCCCCCTAAAACCCCCGCCCCCAACCCACACGCATACGCACTGCCCTTCCCCCCCCCTTTCCCAGCTTCCATTCACTGCACCACACGCAGGTGCACACCAACTTCTCGCTCTTCATGCCCATCTACGACTACCTCGGTGGCACCTGGGACCCCAACTCCGACGCCCTGCACGAAGCTTCCAGGAAACGTACGTTCCACTGCCTCATTTCCTTGTCCCCTCATCCAAATGCCATTCCCTTCTGTCACTTCGATCGATGCCTCCCAGTTCCCCTCGTCGTCCCCCAGTCATCTCATGTTCCACATTCTCCTGTCCCTTTGACCCATTCTCATCTGCTCCTCCCCCTGCTCCACCCCACCCCCTGCTCCACCCCACTCCCTGCGCCACCCCACCCCTTGCCACCCTCCCTCTGCGCCACCCCGCACAGCAAGGAAGGAGCAGCCGGATTTCGTATTCCTAGCGCACGGCATGACCATCCCCTCGGTGCTGCACATGCCATTCTTCCTGCCCTACTTCGCCTCCAAGCCCTTCGCCATCACAGCACAGCAGATCCTCCTCCTGCCCGTCTCCATCACGCTCTGCCTGCTCTACTGGGCCTTTGCGGCCGCCTTCCCCCGCTCCTACACTTACCTTCGGGGAAAGAGGCTCGAGTCATGGGGCATCCCCAGGCTCGGATTCCACGTGAGTAGGGTGGGGTGGGCTGGGATGGGATGGGATGGGATGGGATGGGATGGGATGGGGTTCAGTGCGTTGCAGAGTGGTGCTGCCTGGTGTACCTCCTCCTCCCCATCTCCATCACGCTCTGCCTGCTCCACTGGGCCTTTGCTGCTGCAAGAGGCTCGAGTCCTGGGGCATCCCCATTCTCGGATTCCACGTGAGTATGCTGGGGTAGGATGGGTTTTAATTCAATGGGGCGAGATTCAGAGTGGTGAAGAGCAGTGGCAGTCTTCCTTTTCCCCTTAACCAAGTTCAGTTGTTAACATTCCTCGACATCATTTCTTCTTTTCCTACTTCTCCACCTTCTCCCTCCCTCCATTTCCCCATTTCCCCACCATCCCTCCCATCCCTCCCATCCCACCCATCCCTCCCATCCCACCCATCCTCCCACCATCCCTGCAGTACTTCTTGTGGTTCGAGCAGAAGCAGATCAACAGACTTATTGAAGGCGCGATCCTCAAGGCGGACAAGCAGGGCGTGCAGGTGTTCACCCTGGGCGCACTCAACAAGGTGAGAGAGCGGGAGTGACGAGGTTTATGAGCCTGTAACAGACGG